GAGTACAAGGGGAGAATGACGTCCCGGGATTTGCTTGAGAAGCATCTGTGGATGCAAGCCAGCATTTTGGTCGCTTTACTAGCCGCAGCATCGCATTGAAGGCTCATGTTCATCTTATGGTCAATGATGACCCCCAAGTCTCTTTCTTCCATAGTGCTAGCCAGTATAGCACTGCCGAGCATATAAGAATGCTGCAGGTTTTTCGCCACAAGGTGGAGAACCTTGCATTTTTCAGTGTTAAACACCATCAGGTTCTCGTCCGCCCATTTGCTGAGCCTGTCCAGGTCAGCCTGGATTACCCTTCTGTCTTCAGGTGTGGATGCTTTGCCCCATAGTTAGGTGTCATCGGCAAACTTGGCCAGTCCACTTCTGACTCAAAAGTCCACATCATTAATGCAGATGTTGAACAATATGGGTCCAAGGACAGAGCCTTGGGGGACCCCACTGGTCACAGGGCACCATGACGATTGACTTCTGTCAATTACCACCCTCTGGGTCCGACCATGGAGCCAATTTCCCAGCCAGCGGATCATGGTGGACCCAAGGCCACAATTGGCCAGTTTCGCCAAGAGGTGCTATGGGATACCAGATTAAAGACTTTTTTGAAGTCAAGATATATGACATCAATCTCTTCTCCCTTGTCCAGGTCATAGGTCACCTGGTCGTAGAAGGAAATGAGATTGGTCAAGCAAGACCTACCCGCAACAAACCTGTGCTGGCTATTCCTCAGGATGTTGGTGTCGGCCATTCTGTTAAGGATGACCTCTTTAATAAACTTTTCTAAGACCTTCCCCAGGATAGAGGTCAGGCTGATGGGCCTATAGTTTGCCGGATCCACTTTCCTCTCTTTCTTGAAGATAGGCATCACGTTGGCCTTCTTCCAGTCTTTGGGCACTACACAAGAGCACCAGGAGTTCTCAAAGATCCGTGCCAGAGGCTGGGCTATGATGTTCGCCAGCTCCTTGAGTACCCTGGGGTGTAGATTGTCAGGGCCAGCTGACTTGAAGGTATCCAGCCTCTCAAGGTGTTCCTTCACGAGGTCAGCATTGATGGAGGTCAGGGAATCTCCTTCGCCCGGACCTCCCTGTCCCGTAGTGGGCATGGGCGTCCCATGGGACTGATGAAAGACCGACGCAAAGTACACGTTTAATCGGTTGGCTTTTTCCTGGGCGTCAGTTGTCCCATGGTTTAGCAGGGGTCCAATGTTGCCCTTGCTTTTCCTCAGAGTCCCCACATATCTGAAAAAGAACTTTTTATTGTCCTTGATACTCGAAGCTAGTTGGAGTTCAGTTGCAGCCTTGGCTTTCCTGGTTTGCTCCCTGCAGGACTAGACCAGTGCAGAATATTCCTCCTTGGAGGTGAATCCCATCTTCCATCCTTTGTTGGCCTTTCTTTTTAGCCTCAGGAGGTCTGCTAGATCCCTGGAGAGCCAGGGGGGCTGCTGTGTCCTCTTGCTGCCTTTCCTCCGAGATGGAATAGAATTAGCTTGTGCATGAGGATTGCTCCCTTGAGAAGCAACCACTCTTCCTGGACTCCCCTCCCCCCGTGGTCATGGTCCCTTAGGGCCTCACTGACAGCCCTCCTGATCTTGTCAAAGTCGGCTTTCCTGAAGTCAAGGACTTCAGTGTTGCTGACTGACTTGCCAGCGTTATGGCAGATGGTGAAGGTGATCAGCTCATGGTCGCTGTCA